GTAAATTAATACTTAGAAATATAATTCAGCTAGAGTGTGCAGGGTAAGGTGGCGTGAAAGAGAATGAAAGCAAGAAAGCAGTGGAAGAGGCTAGGACAGGACAGTCACATTAAAAGAAGGAATAACTATTTTCAAGAGGTGCAATTGACTCAACCTTGATGACTAATTGAGAATGGCAGATGAGGAAAAAGTGTGGCTAATGAAGTAAAGGATGGCATAAGAAAATGAGCTCTAAAATGGAGAGCAATGAAAGTAAGTATGGGGGTGGTTAAAAGCTGTGTTTTGGACCTATCTTGGTGGACGTCACTAGTAGATTACTGGAAAAAGCAATACTGTAACAAGACAACTTAAGTCCTACTTAGAATAGGACATTTAGACATACAAGCTATTTCTTCACACGTACAATTGAAGATAGAATTGTAAATGTGATCCCAAATGTCAAGTGCTGTGATATTAGCAGAGGGTTATGCATAGGACAACAAGCAGAAATGTAAAGAAAGCAAGCAAGCAAAGCATCAACATCTTTTATCTTGGAAAAAAAATCAGAATCATGATAATGATTCCAACTGATATAGTCAAGCAATACCTATTATAATGACTGCAAAGGAACTGATTAACTATAGCCCTGATGCCCATTCCTCCATCTTCTAGTCTGATACAGTGGTTGCAATTCTTGGGATTTGGAATCATTTAGATCTGGCTTTAAATTATTTCTAGTTGTTTGAGTCTCTGAGTATCAATAAAGTAGTGGGCACAGAACTTGTTATTCAAGAAAGAGTCAACAAATGATCAATGAATTTGTAATTATTCTATCAGTATGGTAGGACATTACTTCAAATATTAGCTAAATATTCATTCTCTGTTCTTCACACTCTCTGCCTCTCCTTACTTCTAAGAATATTTTATGAATAACTCTTTCAAGGTAGGTAAATATGATGTCCAATAACAAAGAAGGCGTTACTCACCTGTGATTGTACTTTACATTATTTTAAAACCAAGGCAAGAATCTAGAAAGCATGGATTTCTCTTAACAGCTATCTCGTCTTTGGAAAAAGAAAGGATGTGTTGGGGAGCTAGGAAGCATGGAGATTTAACCATCTCAGAAAATTTTACACCACTAGAAGAGTAGGTATCATCCAACCATAAGAGCATGAGTAGAAAGATCCAACGGGATGTGACTCAGAGGCTTCCTGGGTTTCTGAGATGGGGCCTTCAGGGCCCCATGAAAGGAAGAGGATAACAGATGCTCCTTTGGTTTGAAGCAGACTCTGAGAAGAGTAAGGACTTATATACCTTTTCCCAAGGAAAATCTTGGGAAACTGTAAGCTTCCTAGGAAAAACCTATGCCTCATATGGGACCAACATGTTAAAGAGATTGTGGGTGAAGGAGATGCTTAACTTTTTTAAATGGAGAAATAAGTATGAGTGTAGCAGAGTTCAGCTAATAAAGTTCAAAGTGAGAATATTCTGGACAAGTGTGTGAAGCTTCTGACTAGAGGCCATACCAAGGATCTTGGCCTTGAGTAACCAATGCTCAGGATGTCCAAAGATTAGGTGCTAGTAGCTCTGGTGAGGATGCGATGGAATATGCAATTGCAGTTTTCTTTTTTACAAAAAAAGCAATATGTGAGCTCCCTAAAGCCAGTTTTCCTGGGGGAAAGAATAGGAGAAGGGAAAGGGAAGATTCCAATTTTCAACTGAGTGTTAACCCAATAGGAGCAGAGTTCCAAATCAGACATGACTGAAGTATCTTGCAATGACAAGATTATGACTTTTCTTTGAATATAAACATGTTTTAAAAGAAAGGCAGAGTGACAGAGAAAGAGGGAGAGACACAGATATGAAGCAATCTTCCATCCTCTGTTTTCACTGCCCAAATGGCCACAACAGCAATGGCTGGGCCAGGCTAAAGCCAGGAGTCTGGAACTCCATTTGGGTCTCCCACATGGGTGGCAGAGGCCCAAGCACTTGGGCTACCTTCCACTGCTTTTTCAGACACATTATCAAGAAGCAGCCGGAACTGGAACTGGCACTCCGACATGGGATGCCAGTGTTGCAGGTGGCAGATTAACCTGCTATGCTATAATGTCTGCCCTGAAATTCAACATTTTTTAGGAAACTTTAAAAATGATTGTTTACTTATTTACATCTACTTGTAAGGCACAGAGGGAAAGGGAGAAGGAAAGGAGGAGAGAGAAGAGGGAGAGAGAGAGAAAAAAAACCAGAGAGACAGACAGACATACACACAGATCTTCCATCTGTTAGTTTACTTCCCAAATGCTTGCAATAGCTAGGGCTGGACCAGGCCAAAGCCAGGAGCCTGGAACTCCATCCAGGTCTCCTTGGATATGAAAGCACGGGCCCAAGAACTTGAGCCACCATCCACCGCCTCCCAGGATGCATTAGCGGGAAGCAGGATTGGAAGTAGAGTAGCAGAGACTCAAAGGGGCACTCTGATGTGGGAAGTGGGATGTGGGTATTCCAGGAACAGGATTAACCCATTGTGCCACAACACCTGCTTAAATGTTATGACCTTTTTTTGCCATCAGTTGAAATGGGAACTTGAGACGTAAGTTGAATAATTTCAGAATACCAGAGAATTAAAGAAATTTTGCACTTATTTACATTTACATCTAACTTTTGTTAAGGTAAGGATTTTAAACTTACATTATTATTATTATTATTATTATTATTAGAACTGTAGTATGGTTCTGATGGAACACTACTTCTAAAAGTTTTAAGGGTCACATGAGATGCAGAAAAAGGCGGGTTAAGGGCAAGCCTCTGAACACCATTTCAGCAGTAATAGCTTGCTTTAATACAGAGAGGATATACATGTGATTGAATTTTTAGTGAAAATTCCTTCCTGTAAAATATGTGAACAATCATTACCCGGGGAATCTTCGTGCTTTTTTTTCTTTTTTAGAATTACTTGTACAATAACATTATCCAGAGGCTAAGTTTGTTATCTTGGTTTTCTTTGAGTCTAATGTATTCACACTGGCATCTTAAGGGAAGCACTAATAAATCTTTGATTGTGTTCAAGATGGCCCTAGGGACAGGGCTCTAACATTCCTAAGGCATTCATTAACTATATTAGCTTAATGAGAGAACAATCTCCTCTGTTACATTATTATTTGTTAGTATTTGTTTGTTTTATTTTCTTAAAATACTTTAGAAACCTGAGGACCCCTGAGCAACAAAATCCAGTCATGTTATCCAAGGAACTCACTGAAGAATTTACAATTAGCAGAATCCCCCACAGAAACTTTACATCACTAAAATGTTAACTTCATATGCCTCATATGTTTTTCATTATATGCCATCATTTTCTACATTCAGAAAATGGCAGATAAAGACAATTGGAAATGGACAGTAGGGTAACATTTTTGTCATCCAGAATATAAAAATAATCAGGCAAAAGAGTTAATAGATAAAGTGAGACATGTTACATACAATACACTGCTTTTTCAAATAACATCTATTAATTATGCAAACAACAGAATATCTCTAGATTAAACTGAACATGCTAAATTTAAAAAGTAGAGACCCAATGTATGATAAAATAAAGGCTTTGGAAATAGACTTATTTTCAAATACCATCTTGGTAATTTACAGTAATTCTTGCGTTAGCTTCTTGAGTAAATTACTTATTTACTCAATTATTTATTTACTATAGGAGACTGAATTGCCTTATCAGTAAAATAAAAACTGTAATATTGACCTCAGAATTTTTGTGAGACTTTAGTTAAAACAATTTTGAAATGCCTAGCACTTTGCTTGGTACTTACACAACAGTAACTTTGGCACTAAACTTTTTCTTTTGTCTCTTTGAAGCAGTGGCAAAGAAAAATAATGACTATTATGAATAGGCAAGAAAGAAACAAGGAACAAATAGGAAATCAGCACTTAAAATCTAAAAAGAAAAAAAAAAAACCACTAGATTTTCTGCAGTTCAGACTTTACCCTAGTTAGTGGTCAGGGCAAAAAGGTGAATGAGGAGGAGTGTTAAGAGTGTTGGATAATTAAACTACTTCTCTTCACAAGTCAGATAACCTACAGTTGTACCTATGGACTTATTCCAGAGAACCCTGAAAATGTAGCAACATGCAGAGTTGCTTCATTTTCCTTTATACCAACTAGCACAAACTGACAGTGAAAAAAAGTTGGTAAATATGACAGCAAAACCTTTGAAATCCACGCTATTCATTGTTAATATGCTTCTTTGTTGGCAAATTTATCTATTGTCTTGTTTTTCAAATGACCTGCAAAGTGAAAAATGCTCAAGTTTCCTAATGGAACCTTTAAGGAGCTCAGTTTTAATGGCCCCAAATCCCTCTTAGATTATACGCATATTCATGGCTGACTAGAAGCAAACAATAATTACATTTTCATGAAAATAGCTCATATTTCTAAATTTGAGTAAAACTATTATATATGCTGTTGTTAAATCAGTGTACTTGTCTACTTTTCTATGTGTTTTTTCATGCAGAATAAAAATTAGCTTATCTAAATATAGCTAAAAACAAAATTGAAAAGACTGCTGGACAAATTCTAAAATATTTTGCACAGTTTATTATAAGTGATCAGTCTAAATAGGAACAAATTGGGATTCATTTCAAACTACTGGGCTAGGAACACAATTAAAAGAGACATTCCTTACCTATAGAAGAGTAAAGCAGGCCTTTCAGTACTGATTACAAGGTGAGAGAAAATGAACTCTGATGGCAGTGCAATCAGTGTTTGTAAATCACAAGTGCTGTATGGAATACAATTCTAAAAAGGGTAGATGTTGCTTTACAATTTTCAGAAGAAAATACCTAATGGGTCCGAAGCACTATACATACATTTTAAAATAAAAGATGAATTTACAAAGTGAGCTTTGAAAAAGTTTTAAGACCTGCTACCAGTGGTTATGTAGGTAACTTTTCTTTCCCCTCAATTTACAATGGCAGGAAACAAGAATGTTCAGAAAGACTCATAGAGGGAGCTCAACTTACCACCATCCAGTTCCTCAGCTCCAAAATGATTCCTGTAGAAGAGCATGATTTCTATCTTGTAACACTTATAGATGGTCACCAAACAAACAAGCAGTAAGAGGATAGCACCAAGCCCTCCAGCAAGTTCAACTGTGTACATTAGCTCTAGAAAAAAAATCACAACCGTGAATTATACACTATTCACATCCAAAATCATCAATTCAATTTAATTTCACGTTTTTCTGGATGAGACCAGATGTGGGTAATGGGTTAGGACAACCTTTTCCCCATTTTATGTGAGAATTTGACCTTTTAATAACTTTCCATCTCTGTTTCCTTGGTAACTAGATAAAGTAGTATATGGTAACTGTTGCTAAGCAACACTGCTTACAGTAAAAATGAACTTTGGCTTGTAGATTGCATTTGTATTGCGAGAATTATAAATACCTGACTGAAAAGTATAATATTGGGTTTGCCCGAGTGCAGTAAGTCATATAAACCTATCTCTTATGGAGATCCTGCAAGCTATGCTTATGGGATTGATGAAAGAAACATTGGTTCCAATGGATATGAAGCTTTTAAGCTAGTTGAGCTTCTGCACTCATTCTGTGCGAATCTTGAAGTGAGAGGGCTCATCTTCGTTGTCATCTGCGGGGTGGGGTCCAAGGATGGTGAGGGTGAAAGAGCACAGGTCTGGGAGGGCACAGTGGACTGTGGCAGAGTGTTGGGAAGACTACCTCATGACTGGCATCTGTTGACTCCTGTCAGCAGTAAGGGTTCTTGTGTTGCTTCTTACTGAATAAAGTGGTGCCAAGGTGGTTTTCCTTAACTTTGGAGGCTGAATGCTTAATTGAGCTTAAGAAGCAGGCCACTCAGTGTATGTCACAACAAAATATGCTGTAGAGTTTTCCTTTCATTAAGCTATTTCAACTTTTTTCCTCTTTATTTGCTTCCATTTATACTAAGAATATAAAATAATATGAAGTGTGGAATACTGAAAAATACCTCCAGCAGTTTTATTTGTTGAGTCTCATGAATAATTACACAAGACAGCACTACAAAGTACCAAGACTGAAACACAAAATGTTCTTCAGTACAGTATTTCCCTTCTATTATGGGAACAGAAAGGATAAGTGTGTGAATAATACTGTGGGGTACATTGGGTCTTTTTTTCTCAGGACATGAGTTAAACTCTATCATTTTCAGAAGTCTGCATAAAACTCTAATTTATGGCCTGGGGGTAAGTTATACACCTGCAAAATCAGATTTGAAATATCCTGGAAATGATGGAGAAGAGATAAGTATTTAGATTCTTGCTTTGTTTCAGATTCATTCTTAAATAATTTCCATGTTAAACCCTTGGAATTTACCATTCTAAAATTTCTTGAATAACAATAGAAATGGAAAAATAAACAAAATTGTTAACTTCTACTCTCAAACATTGCTAGTGAAAGTATGCTATGGAACTATCACTTTGGAAAACTTGGGTGGTTTCAAGTAAATTAAATATGAATGTACCCTATGGATAAAAATTTAATTCCTAAGTATTTACCTGTAAGAAATATAAGCAGTCTTACAGTATTACTCATTGTAGCCACAACTGGAAACAATCCAAATGTTCATTAACAGGAGATGATAAGCAAATAAATAAATAGTGTATGTTTATACAATAAGAATATAATATACCCACCAATAAAAGAATAAACTACTGATACACGTAGCACGCATGAATTCCACAAAATTGTTAGGTGAAGGACACCAGATGCAAAATAACAGCTCCCATATGATTCTACCTAAATTAAATCTGAGAATGAACCAAAATAATGCATAGTAATATAAAACAGAAAATACATGCTTTGGGGGTAGGTGACGAGAAAATTAACTGGAAAGGGGCAAGAGTGAACTTTTGAGGGTAAAGGAAATATTTTGTATCTAGTTTTGGATATAGATTGGTGTAAGTATTTGTCAAAACCCATTGATCTGAACACTTATGACCTATGCCTCTTATGTTAATTGCACTTCAATTCTTAAAAATTTGATAGTTTTTAAAAAATAGTTACAAGTTCTAACTCAAGGCCTATGTGGCGAGAAGCTCTAAAGCAAGCTAGAAGGGGCCTGTGTTGTGGTGCTGTTTGCTTAGCCGCCACTTGCAACACCTGCATCTCTGAGCACTGGTTTGAGTCCTGGCTGCTCCACTTCTGATCCAGTTCCCTACTAATGCACCTGGGAAGGCAGAGGAAAATCGCCCAAGCACTTGGGCCCCTGCCACCCACATAGAAACCAATATGGAGCGCCTGGCTGCTGGCTTTGTGTGGCCCAGCCTTGACTCTTGGCAGTCATTTGGGGAAAGGCCTAGCAGATAAAAGATCTTTTTCTCTCTGTGTCTCTCCCTCTCTCTGTCATTCTGCCTTTCAAGTAAATAAAATATATTATTAAAAAAAAAAAAAGCTAGGAGTCGGTGCAGCTGCTCTGCTGTAGATAACCGCACAGGCAGGGAATGATTCGTCTGTGGTACCCTCAAGCACACTTGATGTAACGTGCCTTAAGTCTCCGTATCTAGTCAAATAGCTTTGGAAGCAGTCTGAGGTATAATCCTGTCGATTCACTTTCTTTAAAAAAAAAAAAACTCATTTTCTTCAAATGGTATTCCTAATACTAGTCTCTATAAACATTTTAAAAATTTTAGAAACCAAATAGGTTTTTCCAGAAAAATTGTATGAAAGTCTTCTTAGAAAATGAATGCTCAGTTGTGTTATTCCCATTGCTAGCTGTCATGAATCATTCAAACAATTACATACACTACTTAAAATACTCTATTTACTTGGCCAGTCAATAGTATTATCTGAAATGCAATAAGAGAAGGAAAGTAGAGTTGATATAGCTTAGCAATTATAGAAATGGTCTTGTGTCACTTGAATAACTCCTGGAGAATGAGCAATAAGCAGGAAAAATTCTTCTGAGCTGTAGTAATTTACTTCTGATATGTGTACAAGAAACTGGTCTAAAGAAATAGCATTTACAAGGAGATCGATCACCTATCCTGAGATGTTCCAAGTATGTTATATTTCTCCCCAGATACTTCTGTAGTACTACACGCAGAAGCACCTTGTTCTTATAATGTCCTTATGAGAAGGTCAGGTACAAAACTTATCTTCCCCAACAGTGAGCATATCAGTTCCCTTCCTCATTTAATACATTATTTTTATGCAATAATATAATATGCCTATCTATTATAAATGTATGTGAGTTGATTTTTTTCCATTTGATTTGAATTGATCATATTGACTTATATAACATGTACAAACTCTCCCAAAGAAAATGGCACATTAGATTTAGTCTACACATTCTTTTGCTCAAAGCTAGACACATTCTTTAATATAAGTACTACTTATTATCGCTTATCCATTGAGTCAGGACAAAATTATTAGGGTTAAATTCTGTCACACTTAAAAGAAATTATTTGGGTCCACTGCTGTATTTTATCTTAAATTCCAATGTGAATGTGAATGGTGTTGCCCCAGCAAATGTCATTTTCCTTTGAAATGGGATCTGCTTTTCAGCTCTAGTTCAAGTTGCCTGGAGTGGCAGCATTTAAAAAATAAAAAGATTCCATTTCAGCACAATTCAACATCTAAGGATGGAGTGAGAAAGTGCAGACCTTTATAAATTTGTTTAGCCTTTGTGTTATTTTGTTAAAATGATGGACTCTGCCCCCTTTAAGGGACTGAGACTGAATATTGAAAATTGTAAAGCAAAATCACATGGCAAAACCTAAGGGAAACTGGCATTTGGTTAAATACAACAAATGAACAAGTGCCAAAGAGTTACATTTAAGGGCACCAGCAGTCGTTTAGTTACAGGCAATTAACAATAGTCCTTGGAAAGCTCCAGTATGGACTAAGGGAAAACACATTGATTATTGCTGCTGTAGTAGACTGCTTTCGGAATAAATTGCTTCAATTTAAAACTAGATTTGCTACAAGCATTTTGAGCAATGACTACAATTTTTTTCTTATCAAGACAGTTGGAGCAAGCAACCCTCTAAAAGAAACAGCTAATTAAAATAAAGCGCATGCCATCTCTTAGTATATTGGATTACATTGCAAATAATAAATGTGTTTGGTTTACACTGATCTTGCTGCAATTACCTAGTATAGTTTAGGATCCTATTTTCCAATTTTTTTATTGGCCTGTACCTGATATTAATGTTTTCAAACTTTTTTCTTTTAGAAATCTTTGAAGAAGTGAAGATTTTTAACAAAGTATTTTTGAACTCTTGACTTGGAGTTTTCATCTCTATTTGATCTCTCTAGAATACAAGAATGAATGAATATATTATATAACATTATATATTACATATATAATATATATTCATTCATGTCTAAAGTATAATTAAGGATTTTAGGGAACATATTCTTATATAATTCATCCTAAAATTGATTCATTTCATTATATAAAGTCCTTTGAATTGTTCTGTCCTGATTTATATGCATTAAAATACAAGTTTGTGGGGAAATGCATGATAGACATTGTAATGATCCCAGTTTATTCATTAGCCTCACCAAGTACTTTTCTTCTTCTTTCATTGTGTTATAAAGAGCTAAAGTTTATAAGGATTTATCCATCCACATAAATTCATATGCATATTTATTTCTCTGGAGCAGTATACCTTATTTGTTCCTGGCAGGAGGATAATTATGCTCTGCCTAAAAAGATATTCAACTCAATTCTACAATACATCAATGCAATTTAGAAGCAGTTATAATTTTTTGGTAACACATTAAGAAACCGAATTGCTGTTCACATAATAGCAGAAAAATGCTTTGGAATAGTCTAAACTATGATGTTAGGACAGCAGTTTTGCTCTTAAAAAGTCCTTTTTGGAATAAGGCAGGATATACCAAATAAAATTATCATAATAAAGAGGAAAATAGTCTTGGAATGGAGCAGCTTGATCTGTGTAACCAAATATTTGTGCAAAAGTTTACATTCAGGGGCCAGTGCTATGCTGTAGTAAGCTAAGCATCTGATTGCAGTGCCAGCATCCCATATGGGCACCGGTTCAAGTCCTGGCTGCTCCACTTCTGACCCAGCTCTCTGCTATGGCCTGCGAAAGCAGTGGAAGATGGCCCAAGTCCTTGGGCCCCTGCACCCACGTGGGAGAC